ACAGGGGTGTGCAATGGGCACACAGGGGTGTGCAAGGGGCGCACAACGGGTGTGCCAGGCACACACAGGGGTGCGAAGCCGCGTGCCCGCCGCAGGCATCACGCTGTCCGAGTACTTCCGCGACATGGGCTACCACGTCAGCATGATGGCCGACTCGACGTCGCGCTGGGCCGAGGCGCTGCGCGAGATCTCGGGGCGCTTGGCCGAGATGCCAGCGGGTGAGCCCAAACCTGGGGGGCCTTGGGGGGGGGGGCGGGGGGTGTCCCCCCCACTGTCCTGATCCCCCCCCCCCAACCCTGGCTCCCCACAGACAGCGGTTACCCCGCGTACCTGGGCGCCCGCCTCGCATCCTTCTATGAGCGCGCCGGGCGCGCGCGGTGCCTCGGGAACCCCTCCCGCCACGGCAGCGTCAGCATCATCGGAGCGTGAGTGGGGGACATGGGGGGACCCCCCCCTCCTGACACCCCCCTCACACCCCTCACACCCCCCTTCCCCGTCCCCTGCAGCGTGTCACCCCCGGGAGGGGACTTCTCCGACCCTGTCACCTCGGCCACGCTGGGCATCGTGCAGGTGAGTGGGGTGCAACGGGGGACCCCAGTCACGGTGCGGTGCCCTCTACCCCCATTGCAGTGTGATCCCACTGACCCCCCCCCCCCATGGTCTGACCCCCCCATTGCAGTGTGACCCCCTTGAAACCCATACTATTGTGACCCCCCCATCGCAATCCCAGTGTGGCCCCCCTGACCCCTCTATCTGACCCCCCATTGCATTGTGACCCCCCTAACACCCATATGGTTGTGACCCCCCCCCCAATCCCAGTGTGACCCCCCCCATTGCAGTGTGACCCCCTTGACACCCATACTGGTGTAACCCCCACATCCCAATCCCAGTGTGACCCCCCCAACCCCTCTATCTGACTCCCCCCATTGCAGTGTGACCCCCTTGACACCCATACTGGTGTGAGCCCCCCGTCTGACCTCCCCATTGCAGTGTCACCCACCTAATCCCCATCCCACTGTGTCCCCCTGACCCCTATTACGATGTGACCCCCCCTGACCCCCTCATCTGACCATCCCCTTGCAGTGTGTTCCCCTGACCCCTATTGCAGTGTGACCCTCCGTGACCCCCATCCCCCGTGTCCCCTCTGACCTCCATCCTGCTGTGACCCCCCCCTCCCACCCACACCATGGTGTGAACCCCCCATCCCGGTCTGACCCCCCCACTGCAGTGTGACCCCCCCCTAATCCCCATCGCAGTGTGTCCCCCTGACCCCTATTATGGTGTGACCCCCCCTGACCCCCATCCCTGGTGACCCCCCCATCCCTGTGTGACCCTCCCTGACCCCTATCCCCGGTGACCCCCCCATCCCTGGTGACCCCCCCATCCCTGTGTGACCCTCCCTGACCCCTATCCCCGGTGACCCCCCCGCATCCCGGTGTGATCCCCCCCGACCCCCATCCCTGGTGACCCCCCCCATCCCCGTGTGACCCCCCCTGACCCCCACCCCTTGTGCTCCCCCCCCATCCCAGGGTGACCCCCCCTGACCCCCTTCATCTCGGGTGATCCCCCCCCATCCTGCGTGACACCCCCCCATCCCTGGTGTTCCGCCCATCCCGATGTGACCCCCCTGACCCCCATCCCGGTCTTGCCCACCCCATCCCTGGTGACCCCCCCATCCCGGTGTGATCCCCCCCTGACCCCTATCCCTGGTGCCCCCCCCCAATCCCTGATGCCCCCCCCCATCCCGGTGTGACCCCCCCTCCTCTGTGCCGGTCCCGCAGGTGTTCTGGGGGCTGGACAAGAAGCTGGCGCAGCGGAAGCACTTCCCGTCCGTGAACTGGCTCATCAGCTACAGCCGGTACCTGCGGGCGCTGGAGCCCCACTACGAGCGCCTGCACCCCGAGTTCCCGGCGCTGCGCAGCCGCGCCCGGGAGATCCTGCAGGAGGAGGAGGAGCTGGCCGAGATCGTGCAGCTCGTGGGGAAGGTGGGATGTGGGTAAGGGGTGGGTAAGGGATGGGAGCGGGGTGGGTGCAAGATGGGTGCGGGATGGGTACGGGATGGGTGCGGGACGGGTACAGTACAGATACGGGTTGGGTGCAGGATGGGTGCGGGACGGGTGCGGGATGGGTAAGGGATGGATACAGGATGGGTACGGGATGGATGCGGGGCGGGTGCGGGATGGATACGGGACGGGTGCGGGACGGGTGCGGGACGGGAAAGGGACGGGTAAGGGATGGGTAAGGGATGGGTAAGGGATGGATACAGGATGGGTACGGGATAGGTACGGGATAGATATGGGATGGGTAAGGGATGGGTAAGGGATGGGTAAGGGATGGGTATGGGATGGGTAGGGGGTGGATACGGTATGGGTGTGGGATGGATATGGGTTGGGTACGGGATGCGTATGGGACGGGTACGGAACAGATACGGGATGGGTACGGGATGGGAATGGGATGGGTGTGGGATGGGTACAGGACGGATACGGGATGGGTATGGCATGGGTACGGGACAGGTACGGGATGGGTATGAGATGGGATGGTGGTGAGACAGAGAGAAGGGTGGGATGGGGAGGGATGCGGATATAGGATATGGGATGGGTACGGGGTGGGATGGTGGTGGGACAGAGGTAAGGATGGGATGGGGAGGGATGGGGATATGGGGGATGGGATGGGGGATTGGGTTTATGGGATGAGAATGGGGATATGGGATGGGGATATGGGGTGCAGGATGGGAATAAGCATATGGGACACTAGATGGAGATGGGCTGGGGGATACAGGATGGAATCATGGTAGGGACAGCGATGAGGTGGGGATGGGGGTATGGGGATGGGATGGGGATATGGGATACAGGGTGGGAACGGGGATATGGGATAGGGGCTGGGGACATGGGCAATGGGGTGAGGATGGGACAAGGCCACCCCACACCCGTCCCCCCATAGGCATCCCTGGCTGAGGCTGACAAAGTGACGCTGGAGGTGGCCAAGCTGCTCAAGGACGACTTCCTGCAGCAGAACGGTTACTCCTCGTACGACAGGTACCGGAACACCGGCACCCCCGGCACCCCCCGGCACCCCTCAGCACCCCCCAGCACCCCCCAATACCCAGCCCTGGCCCCCCCTAGGTTCTGCCCCTTCTACAAGACGGTGGGGATGCTGCAGAACATGGTGACGTTCTACGAGCTGGCGCGGCACGCGGTGGAGGCGGCGGGCCCGGGCGAGCACCGCGTCACCTGGGCCACCATCCGCGAGAGCCTCGGGGACATCCTCTACAAGCTCAGCGCCATGAAGTTCAAGGTGGGGATTGGGGTGGGGGTGTGGGGTGACACACCCCCCCCCCCCCATTGCAGGGACCGGTGTCACCGCGTCCCCCGTGTCCCCAGGACCCGGTGAAGGACGGCGAAGCCAACATCACCGCAGCCTTCGCTCAGCTCAATGAGGAGATGCAGGCGGCTTTCCGCAACCTGGAGGACTGAGAGGACAACAGGGGGGGTACAGGGTGGGGGGGTCCCCTCGGGTTTCCCTCTGTACCCCCAATAAAGGGCCTGAGGTGACAATCGTGGTGTCCCCCCCACCCATGGGTGCGGCTTGGGGGGGGTCCCCCTGACTCCACACTGGGAAACCACTGGGAGGGGTTTGGGGGGGGACATGGGGCCACCAAGATGGTGACGAGCAAGGAGACACCCCCTGGCTGTGTCCATTGTCCCACCCCCCCCATTGCCCCCCCCCCCCATTGCCACGCTTGTGCCGTGTCAGCATCCAGAACCTTCCGCACATTGTGTCCCTGACAATGGCACTGTCCCCATTGAGGGGCAGAGGGACACGGAGAGACAGCGGTGCTGAAGGGGGGTAAGTGTCCCTGGAGGGGGGGGGGGGGGTGTCTGGCCCCAATGTCCCTTGAGGTGACACCCCCGGGTACCCCCATACCCTGGAGGTGCCCACCCTGGCTGCCAGGGACAGTCCCAAAGGTGTCCCCATGGGTGAACCCTGCATCCCCCCCCCCCCCCCCGAGGTGTCCTCATGGGGGTCCCCTTGAGATGCCCCCCTCGAGTCCCCCAATGTCCCCATGGGTGTCCCCCATGTCCCTCAAAGGTGTCCCCATGGGTGTCCCCTGCACCCCCCTCACAGGTGTCCTCATGGGGGTCCCCTTGAGATGCCACCACCAATGTCCCTCAATGTCCCTATGGGTGTCCCTCATGTCCCTCAGAGATGTCCCCATGGATGCGTCCCTTGGTGATGTCCCCATGAGTTCCCCTAGGTCCCCTCATGTCCCCACGGGTGTCCCCTGTATCCCCTGGTGCTGGCATGACCAGGTCCCCCCATGTCCCTCGGAGATGTCCCCATGGGTGTCCCCTGCATCCCCTGGTGCTGCCACCCCAGAGATGTCCCTGTGGGTGTCCCCCTGCATCCGCTGGCGATGCCACCCCAGAGATGTCCCCATGGGTGTCCCCCTGCATCCCCTGGCTATGCCACCCCCATGTCCCCTGGAGATGTCCCCATGGGTGTCCCCTGCATCCGCTGGCGATGCCACCCCAGAGATGTCCCCATGGGTGTCCCCTGCATCCCCTGGCGATGCCACCCCCATGTCCCCTGGAGATGTCCCCATGGGTGTCCCCTGCATCCGCTGGCGATGCCACCCCAGAGATGTCCCCATGGGTGTCCCCTGCATCCCCTGGCGATGCCACCCCCATGTCCCCTGGAGATGTCCCCATGGGTGTCCCCTGCATCCGCTGGCGATGCCACCCCAGAGATGTCCCCATGGGTGTCCCCTGCATCCGCTGGCAATGCCACCCCAGAGATGTCCCTGTGGGTGTCCCCTGCATCCCCTGGCTATGCCACCCCCATGTCCCCTGGAGATGTCCCCATGGGTGTCCCCTGCATCCCCTGGCGATGCCACCCCCATGTCCCCTGGAGATGTCCCCATGGGTGTCCCCTGCATCCCCTGGCGATGCCACCCCCATGTCCCCTGGAGATGTCCCCATGGGTGTCCCCTGCTGCTCCCACCCCAGATCCCCCCCTTCCCCTGGCAATGTCCCCCCCGTGTCCCCACACAGGGCGATGCCGGCGGGGGGGGGGCTGCTCTGTGGGGCCAGCGGCCTGGGGCTGCTCCTGGTGGCCACGGCCACCGGCTCCTGGCTGCAGCGCCGGGTGCCCGGTGGCAGCGCCAGCATCGGGCTGTGGCGCATCTGCGGCGGGGGACACTGCGGCCCCCACCCTGGCACCCCCGGTACGCACTGTGTGGTGAGCTCTGCCCGTCACTGCTGAGCTGAGCTGTGCCCATCGCTGCTGAGCTGTGCCCATCACTGCTGATCTGAGCTGTGCCCATCGCTGCTGAGCTGAGCTGTGCCCATCGCTGCTGAGCTGTGCCCATCGCTGCTGAGCTGTGCCCATCGCTGCTGAGCTGAGCTGTGCCCATCGCTGCTGAGCTGAGCTCTGCCCATCGCTGCTGAGCTGTGCCCATCACTGCTGAGCTGTGCCCGTCGCTGCTGAGCTGTGCCCGTCGCTGCTGAGCTGTGCCCATCACTGCTGAGCTGTGCCCGTCGCTGCTGAGCTGTGCCCATCACTGCTGAGCTGTGCCCGTCGCTGCTGAGCTGTGCCCGTCGCTGCTGAGCTGAGCTGTGCCCGTCACTGCTGAGCTGTGCCCGTCGCTGCTGAGCTGAGCTGTGCCCATCACTGCTGAGCTGTGCCCGGTCTCTGTGGGGTGGGGATGTGGGGGTCACTACTGCTCTGTGTCCTCTCTGTGGGTTGGGGATGGGGGTCACTGCTGCCCTGAGCTGTGCCTGGTCTCTCTGGGGTAGGGATGGGGGTCACCGCTGCACTGAGCTGTGCCCGGTCTCTGTGGGGTGGGGATGGGGGTCACTGCTGCGCTGAGCTGTGCCCATCACTGCTGCGCTGCGCTGTGCCTGGTCTCTGTGGGGTGGGGATGGGGGTCACTGCTGCGCTGAGCTGTGCCCATCACTGCTGCGCTGCGCTGTGCCTGGTCTCTGTGAGCTGCACGTGGGGCCATGTCTCGGGGTCCCCCTCGTGTCCCCAACTCCCGTGTGTCCCCCCCCCAGCTCTATGGGAGGCCACGCGGGTGCTGATGCTGCTCTCGGTGCTCATGGCCACTGCCGGCCTCGCCATGGGGCTCTGCGCTGCGGCCGCCAGGGCCTGGCGGGTGCGTGTCCGTGCGGCCGGTGCCACCCTGCTCCTGGCTGGTACGTGGGGACGAGCATAAGGGGGGGGGCTATGGGGCCAGTCCCCGGGGCAGCATTGATGCACTGAGCTGGGCCCGGTCTATGCCAGGCTCTCACGGCGCTGCTGATCCAAGCGCTGTGCCCGCAGGGCTCCTGGCGCTGCTGGGGCTGGGGCTGTACACGGCCGGCACCCCGAGGCTGCTGGGGCCGGCCCGCACTGCCTGGCGCTTCTCCTGGTCCTACATCCTGGGCTGGGTGGCTGCTGCCCTCATCAGCTCCGCAGGTAATGGAGCCCCCGCTGCCCGAGCACTGCTGGGTGGGGATGGGGTCACTGCTGTGCTGAGCTGTGTCTGGGCTGTACAGGATGGGGATGGGGTCACTGCTGTGCTGAGCTGTGTCTGGGCTCTGCAGGATGGGGATGGGGTCACTGCTGTGCTGAGCTGTGTCTGGGCTCTGCAGGATGGGGTCACTGCTGTGCTGAGCTGTGTCTGGGCTGTACAGGATGGGGATGGGGTCACTGCTGTGCTGAGCTGTGTCTGGGCTGTACAGGATGGGGTCACTGCTGTGCTGAGCTGTGTCTGGGCTGTACAGGATGGGGTCACTGCTGTGCTGAGCTGTGTCTGGGCTGTACAGGATGGGGATGGGGTCACTGCTGTGCTGAGCTGTGTCCGGGCTCTGCAGGATGGGGATGGGGTCACTGCTGTGCTGAGCTGTGTCTGGGCTCTGCAGGATGGGGATGGGGTCACTGCTGTGCTGAGCTGTGTCTGGGCTCTGCAGGATGGGGTCACTGCTGTGCTGAGCTGTGTCTGGGCTGTACAGGATGGGGTCACTGCTGTGCTGAGCTGTGTCTGGGCTGTACAGGATGGGGTCACTGCTGTGCTGAGCTGTGTCCGGGCTGTACAGGATGGGGTCACTGCTGTGCTGAGCTGTGTCTGGGCTCTGCAGGATGGGGTCACTGCTGTGCTGAGCTGTGTCTGGGCTCTGCAGGATGGGGATGGGGTCACTGCTGTGCTGAGCTGTGTCTGGGCTGTACAGGATGGGGATGGGGTCACTGCTGTGCTGAGCTGTATCTGGGCTCTGCAGGATAGGGATGGGGTCACTGCTGTGCTGAGCTGTGTCTGGGCTGTACAGGATGGGGATGGGGTCACTGCTGTGCTGAGCTGTGTCTGGGCTCTGCAGGATGGGGTCACTGCTGTGCTGAGCTGTGTCTGGGCTGTGCAGGATGGGGATGGGGTCACTGCTGTGCTGAGCTGTGTCTGGGCTGTGCAGGATGGGGATGGGGTCACTGCTGTGCTGAGCTGTGTCTGGGCTCTGCAGGATGGGGATGGGGTCACTGCTGTGCTGAGCTGTGTCTGGGCTGTGCAGGATGGGGATGGGGTCACTGCTGTGCTGAGCTGTGTCTGGGCTGTGCAGGATGGGGATGGGGTCACTGCTGTGCTGAGCTGTGTCTGGGCTGTACAGGATGGGGATGGGGTCACTGTGTCTGGGCTGTGCTGGGGATGGGGTCACTGCTGTGTCTGTGTCTGCTGTGCAGGATGGGGATGGGGTCACTGCTGTGCTGAGCTGTGTCTGGGCAGGATGGGGATGGGGTCACTGCTGTGCTGAGCTGTGTCTGGGCTGTGCAGGATGGGGATGGGGTCACTGCAGGATGGGGATGGGGTCACTGCTGTGCTGAGCTGTGTCTGGGCTGTACAGGATGGGGTGGGGTCACTGCTGTGCTGAGCTGTGTCTGGGCTGTGTCAGCTGTGCTGAGCTGTGTCTGGGCTGTAAAGGATGGGGATGGGGTCACTGCTGTGCTGAGCTGTGTCTGGTCACTGCTGTGCTGAGCTGTGTCTGGGCTGTTCAGGATGGGGATGGGGGCTCTGCTGTGCTGCGCTGTGTCTGGGCTGTGCAGGATGGGGTCACTGCTGTGCTGAGCTGTGTCTGGGCTGTGCAGGATGGGGATTGGGTCACTGCTGTGCTGAGCTGTGTCCGGGCTGTACAGGATGGGGATGGGGTCACTGCTGTGCTGAGCTGTGTCTGGGCTGTACAGGATGGGGTCACTGCTGTGCTGAGCTGTGTCCGGGCTGTGCAGGATGGGGATGGGGTCACTGCTGTGCTGAGCTGTGTCTGGGCTCTGCAGGATGGGGTCACTGCTGTGCTGAGCTGTGTCTGGGCTGTACAGGATGGGGATGGGGTCACTGCTGTGCTGAGCTGTGTCTGGGCTGTACAGGATGGGGTCACTGCTGTGCTGAGCTGTGTCTGGGCTGTAAAGGATGGGGTCACTGCTGTGCTGAGCTGTGTCTGGGCTGTAAAGGATGGGGATGGGGTCACTGCTGTGCTGAGCTGTGTCTGGGCTCTGCAGGATGGGGATGGGGTCACTGCTGTGCTGAGCTGTGTCTGGGCTGTGCAGGATGGGGTCACTGCTGTGCTGAGCTGTGTCTGGGCTGTGCAGGATGGGGTCACTGCTGTGCTGAGCTGTGTCTGGGCTGTGCAGGATGGGGGTCACTGCTGTGCTGAGCTGTGTCTGGGCTGTGCAGGATGGGGATGGGGTCACTGCTGTGCTGAGCTGTGTCCGGGCTGTACAGGATGGGGATGGGGTCACTGCTGTGCTGAGCTGTGTCTGGGCTGTACAGGATGGGGTCACTGCTGTGCTGAGCTGTGTCCGGGCTGTACAGGATGGGGTCACTGCTGTGCTGAGCTGTGTCTGGGCTCTGCAGCATGGGGGTCACTGCTGTGCTGAGCAGTTTGTCCTCCCCCTGCCCACACGGAGCCCCCTCCTTCTCCCCCCATCCCAGGGCTTTTCCACCTCTGTTCTGCCCACAAGGACTCGTCTCCAGAGAGCTCCGAAGAGGTGGGTGCCTGAGGGGCACCAAGCACCCCGGGGGCCCCCGCTCCCACCCTTGTCCCCCCCTGATCCCCACGGGAGCCCGGGGGGGGGGGGCACCCCACTGTGCTGCTCACTGCTGTGTTGAGTTGTGCTCGGTCACTGCTGCACTGAGCTCCCCGCACCCCCCGTTGTACCCCGATTTTGCTGTGCCAATAAATGGTGTCCGGTGCGATTTGGTGACCCCAAATTTGGGGGGGGGGGGGTGTTTCAAAGTCAGCCCCCCCCCCGGGCCAAGTTTTGGATAGAAATAGGGACGTTTGGGGAGGGCTCACCTGGGAGGGAGCATGGGGGGGGGGGAACATGGGGTCAATGGAGGGACTTGGAGTCACCGGATCCCCCTCGGTATCCGCCATGGAGCGTCCAGTGGGGCCCCACCGCTGCTATCGCCCCTTTAAGGCCGCGCCCTCGGCCCCGCCCCTGCCCCGACCCGCCAGACCGGTCCACCCCGCCCGACCCCACCCCCTGAAGCCCCGCCCCCCCCCCGCGCCCCCGCCCCCCCCCGGCCCCGCCCCCCCCCCCCCCCCCCCCCCCCCCCCCCCCCCCCGTCCCGGCTCGAGCGGCGCAGAACGGCCCGGAACGGCCCCGGGCAGCCCGGAACGGCCCGGCCAGGCTCGGCCCGGTTCGCCCCGGTGCAGCCCGGTCGGGCTCGGTTCCCCCCGGTTCCGTTCTCTGCGGTCCGGTCCCGTTCGGCTCGGCCCGGTTCGGCCCCCCCCCCCCCCCTCCGGTGCAGCCCGGTTCGGTCCGGATGGTGCTGGCCGGGGCCCGAGCAGCGCCGTGAGCCCGCAGGTGTCCGCATGGCCCCCCGCGGGATGCGGCCCGGGAAGCCCTTCCTCCCCCCTCTCCTCGCCCTCTTCTTCCTCCTCCTCCTCCTCCTCCTCGCCGCTACCGGTAAGGCTCGACCGGCACCGGGTGGGGGTGAACGGGACGGGACCCGGCCGGGAGCGGGACCCCGGGGTGTGGGCACCGGGAGCGGCAGCACCGGGCTGCGAGACGGGACCGGGGGCGGGGACCGGGGCGGGGGCAGCGGCTGCCCCCGGGGGGTGAGGGGGGAAACCGGCTGCCCCGTGGTGGGGAACGAGAACAAGGGGGCACCGGTAGCCCCGGGGCTGCGGGACTCAATGGGGGACAGGCGGGGGGGGACACGGGGACGGGATGCACCGGGGAAGGACCAGGAGAGCGGGGTGCACACGCGTGTGCACCTGGGTGCGGTGCGTGCATGTGTGTGTGCGCGTGTGTTCGTGTGTGTATTCGTGTGTTCATGTGTGTGTTCGTGTGTGTGTGCGAGTGTTCATGTGTGTGTTCGTGTGTTCATGTGTGTGTTCGTGTGCACACGCGTGTTTGTGTACGTGTGAGCGCTCGCGTGTGCACCTGCGGCTCCACGCACCTGTGTCTGCGTGTGCCCGTGCCCGTGCCCGTGCCCGTGCCCCCCCCTCCGCAGCCCCCGTGCCTCAGTTTCCCCGCGGCTCCCGGACCCGTGGGAACCGGCTGGGTGCCGCGGCGTGACGTCACCACCGGGGGGGCTGACCCCCCCGTCCCCCGTCCCCAACCACGTCATTCACCCCCTCGGGGTACGGGTGTGGGGGGGGGATATCGGGGTTTCGTGCAAAGAATGGGGCTGAGCCCCTCACCCCGGGGGGGGGGGGGGGGGGGGGGGGGGGCTGCGTGCACACGCGTGTGTGGGGCAGACACTTGTGTGTGAAGCGGGGTGCCCCCATCTATGCCCGGGGATGTGTGTGCGGTTACACACGTGTGTTCCCCCCCGGGGGGTTACACACGCGTGTGCACCCCAAGGGGCCGAAGCGCACACACGTGTGGCTGCTTGTGCCCCCCCCCAGCCTCGGGACACCCCAACATCCATTCCCTCCCCCCCCCCCGGTGCCGGTCGCGCAGCGGAGCCCGGCCGGGGCGTGGGGGCCGCGGGATCCGGTTGAGCCGGTTCCCGGCTCCGTTCCCACGCGCTCGGCCCCGGTGGGTGGGGACGCCCCGCGGCGGGACCTCAACCCGCCCCGACGGCACCGGTACCAGGCTCCCCCCACCCCCCCCCCCATCCACGCTTCCCTCGACGGCAGCTCCGGGACCTCCCCCCCCCCTCATATCCCCCTCCCGGTTCCCCCTTTCCCCCTTCCCCGGAGCCCATCGCTGTGTGCGGGGGAAACTGAGTCCGAGCGGCGGTGGCCGTGACTCACGGCCTGGGAGAGCCGCAATTAGTTAATGAACCCGGGCTAATCGGGGGTAATTAAGGCCGGGCCCGGCGCGGGGGGCTCTGCGCGAGGCCCCGGGGCGGCGGGGGTGGGAAGCGGCCGCAAGCCCCGGCAGCGCGCGGCATCCGCGCCGTCCGGTTGTTCCGGCCCCGCCGCTTCCCGCGGCGCCGCTGGGCGGGCCCCGGCACCACGCCCCGGCCCCGACGGCCCCGCACGGGCGAGGCTGCGCGTGCCCCCGGTGCACGGGTGCGGGAGAGCGGTGCTGAGCGTGCCCGGGTGTGAGTGAGTGGTGCTGAGTGATGCTGAGTGTGAGTGAGTGATGCTGAGTGATGCTGAGTGTGTGTGAGTGATGCTGAGTGATGCTGAGCGTGCCCTTGTGTGTGTGAGTGATGCTGAGTGTGTGTGAGTGATGCTGAGTGTGCCCCTGTGTGTGTGAGTGATGCTGAGTGTGTGTGAGTGATGCTGAGCGATGCTGTGTGCCCTGTGTGAGTGATGCTGAGTGTGCCCTAGTGTGTGTGAGCGATGCTGAGTGCGTGTGAGTGATGCTGAGTGTGCCCTGTGTGTGTGTGTGATGCTGAGTGTGCCCCCATGTGTGTGTGTGAGTGATGCTGAGTGTGCCCCCGTGTGCGTGAGGCTGAATGTGCCCCTGTGTGTGTGAGCGATGCTGTGTGCCCGAGTGTGTGTGAGCGATGCTGAGTGTGCCCCTGTGTGTGTGAGCGATGCTGAGTGTGCCCCCGTGTGTGTGAGCGATGCTGAGTGTGCCCCTGTGTGTGTGAGCGATGCTGAGTGTGCCCCCGTGTGTGAGTGGTGCTGAGTGTGCCCTTGTGTGTGTGAGTGATGCTGAGCGTGCCCCTGTGTGTGTGAGTGATGCTGAGTGTGCCCTTGTGTGTGTGAGTGATGCTGGGTGTGCCCCTGTGTGTGTGAGTGATGCTGAGTGTGCCCCCGTGTGTGTGTGAGTGATGCTGAGTGTGCCCTGTGTGAGTGATGCTGAGTGTGTGTGAGTGATGCTGAGCGTGCCCGAGTGTGAGTGAGTGATGCTGAGTGTGTGTGAGTGATGCTGAGCGTGCCCGAGTGCGTGTGAGTGATGCTGAGCATGCCCGAGCGTGAGTGAGTGATGCTGAGTGATGCTGAGCGTGCCCCTGTGTGTGTGAGTGATGCTGTGTGTGAGTGATGCTGAGCGTGCCTGAGTGTGAGTGAGTGATGCTGAGCATGCCCGAGTGTGAGTGGTGCTGAGTGTGCGCTTGTGTGTGTGTGATGCTGAGCGTGCCCCTGTGTGTGTGAGTGATGCTGAGTGATGCTGAGTGTGCCCCTGTGTGTGTGAATGATGCTGTGTGTGAGTGATGCTGAGTGTGCCCCCCTGTGTGTGTGTGATGCTCAGCGTGCCCCTGTGTGTGTGAGTGATGCTGAGTGTGCCCCCCTGTGTGTGTGTGATGCTCAGCGTGCCCCCGTGTGTGTGAGTGATGCTGAGTGTGCCTCCCTGTGTGTGTGTGATGCTCAGCGTGCCCCTGTGTGTGTGAGTGATGCTGAGCGTACCCCTGTGTGTGTGAGCGATGCTGAGTGTGCCCCTGTGTGTGTGAGTGATGCTGAGCGTACCCCTGTGTGTGTGAGCGATGCTGAGTGTGCCCCTGTGTGTGTGAGTGATGCTGAGTGTGCCCGTGTGTGTGAGTGATGCTGAGTGTGCCCCCGTGTGTGTGATCAAGGGGGGCTGTGCCCCTGTGTGTGGCTCTAAGCATGCACAAGCACCCACAGGTGCAAGTGCCGGTCGGGCGCGTGTCCGAGTGTGTCCGCACACGCATGAGCGTGCCCAAGTGCGTGCGAGCGTGCAGCGCCGTGCAGCCGGGCATGAGGAGCGCGCGTGCGCCCGTCCGAGCGTGCGTAAGGATGCTCGAGCACGCAGGAGGGTGCCTGAACGCGCGGGGGCACGCCTGTCCGTGTGCAAGCGTGTCTAAGCGTGTGCAACGACACGGGAGCGCGTGTCTGCATGTGCCCCCGAGCACACGCGTGTGTGTGCGAGCGCGTTGCCATGCGAGTACCCCCAAGCACGCCCAAGAACACACGTGTGCAAACCCGAGCGTGTGCGAGCGTGGCCGTGCCGTCGCAGGCCGCGCCGGCGTGGTGGAGGTGCAGCGCAGCGTGACGGCGGTGCTGGGCCAGGACGTGGTGCTGCCGTGCCGGTACCGGGCGCAGGAGCAGGAGCACGTGGTGCAGGTGACGTGGCTGAAGCGGGGTCCCGCCGGGAGCAGCGCCGAGGTGGCCGTGCTCAACCGGGAGCACGGGGAACACGTGCAGGAGCCCTACGCCGGGCGCGTGATGCGGCGGGCGGGGGGGCCGCTGGAGGACGGCGCCATCGTCCTGCGCAACGCGGTGCAGGGCGACGAGGGCGACTACGAGTGTCACCTCATCACCTTCCCCATGGGCAGCTTCGAGGGGCGCCTCACGCTCAAGGTGCTGGGTGAGTGCGCGGGACGCGGGTGACAGGCGATGGGCGTGGGGTGGGAGGGCATGGGGTGATGGGCAGAGGGTGATTGGTGATGGGCATGGGATGATGGCCATAGTGTGACTGGTGATGGGCATTGGCAATGGGCATGGGGTGATGGTCATAGGGTGATGGCCATAGGGTGATTGGTGATGGGCATAGGGTGATGGGCAATGGGTGATGGCCATAGGGTGATTGGTGATGGGCATAGGGTGATGGGCAATGGGCATGGGGTGATGGTCATAGGGTGATAGGCAATGGGTGATGGCCATAGGGTGATTGGTGATGGGCATAGGGTGATGGGCAATGGGTGATGGCCATAGGGTGATTGGTGATGGCCATAGGGTGATGGGCAATGGGCATGGGGTGATGGCCATAGGGTGACTGGTGATGGGCGATGGCCATGGGATGACGGGCAATGGGCATGGGGTGATGGTCATAGGGTGATGGCCATAGGGTGATTGGTGATGGCCATAGGGTGATGGGCAATGGGCATGGGGTGATGGGCATGGGGTGATGGCCATAGGGTGACTGGTGATGGGCAATGGCCATGGGATGATGGGCAATGGCCATGGGGTGATGGTCATAGGGTGATGGCCATAGGGTGATTGGTGATGGCCATAGGGTGATGGCCAATGGGCATGGGGTGATGGGCATAGGGTGATAGGCAATGGGTATAGGGTGATAGGCAATGGGCATGGGGTGATGGCCATAGTGTGACTGGTGATGGGCAATGGCAATGGGCATGGGGTGATGGTCATAGGGTGACAGGCAATGGGTGATGGCCATAGGGTGACTGGTGATGGGCAATGGCAATGGGCATGGGGTGATGGTCATAGGGTGACAGGCAATGGGTGATGGCCATAGGGTGACTGGTGATGGGCATAGGGTGATTGATGATGGGCATAGGGTGATGGGCAATGGGCATGGAGTGATGGTCATAGGGTGACAGGCAAAGGGTGATGGGCATAGGGTGACTGGTGATGGGCATAGGGTGATAGGCAATGGGTGATGGCCATAGGGTGATTGGTGATGGGCATGGGATGATGGGCAATGGGCATGGGGTGATGGGTGATGGTTACAGGGTGATAGATGACAAGACCAGAATGATAGGTATGGGGTGATGGGGAAGGGGCAATGAGGTGATGGTCATAGGGTGATAGGCAGTGAGTGATGGCCATAGGGTGATTGGTGATGGGCATAGGGTGATAGATGACAAGAACAGAATGATAGGTATGGGGTGATGGGGAAGGGGCAATGAGGTGACAGGCAATGGGTGATGGCCATGGAGTGATCAGCTTGGGATGATGGGCAATGCACATGGGGTGATGGTCATAGGGTGATTGGTGATAGGCACGGGATGATGGGCAATGGGCATGGGGTGATGGTCATAGGGTGATTGGTGATGGGCATGGGATGATGGGCAATGGGCATGGGGTGATGGTCATAGGGTGATAGGCAATGGGTGATGGCCGTAGGGTCATTGGTGATGGGCATAGGGTGATGGGCAATGGGCATGGGGTGATGGTCATAGGGTGATTGGTGATGGGCATGGGATGATGGGCAATGGGCATGGGGTGATGGTCATAGGGTGATAGGCAATGGGTGATGGCCGTAGGGTCATTGGTGATGGGCATAGGGTGATGGGCAATGGGCATGGGGTGATGGTCATAGGGTGACGATCATAAGGTGATAGGCATAGTGTGATGGGCAGTGGGTGAAGTGATAGCCGTAGGGTGATTGCTGTTGGGTGTAGGGTGATGGGCATAGGGTGATTGGCCTTGGATGATGGGCAATGGCCATAGGTGATGGCCATAGGGTGATGGGTGACAAAAGAAGGGTGATGGGTGTAGGGTGACGGGCAAGGGACAATGGAGTGATGGCCATAAGGTAATGAGGCAACTGCTGTGGGGTAGTGGAAACAGGGCGATGGGCAATGAGCACACGGTGACAGGCCAAAGGCTGTGGGGCAGTGGGTTGGTGGGCAGGGGGCAATGGGGCGATGCGGCGCTGGGGCCCGTGGCTCCGCGGTCAGTGCCTCACGGTCGCCCCGGTGCCGCCGCAGTGCCGCCGCTGCCCATCCTGAACCCGGGGCCACCGCTGGAGGAGGGTCAGGGCCGGACGCTGGCGGCCTCGTGCACGGCCGAGGGCAGCCCCGTGCCCTCCGTGCGCTGGGAGACCGAGGTGCGAGGCACCAACGCCACGCGCCGGTCGGAGCACGCCCGCTCCGCGTCCGTCACCAGCGAGTTCTTCCTGGTGCCCGGGCGCAGCATGAACGGGAAGAGCCTCACGTGCGTGGTGGAGCACCCCGGCCTGCGCCACGAGAAGAGGATCACGCACCTCCTCAGCGTCGCCTGTGGGCACCGGGGCACGGGCAGGGACACGGAGGGCGCTGGGGACACAGGGGGCATTGGGGCACGATGGGAACTGGGGACACGGAGGATGTTGGGGACGTGATGGGCGCTGGGGATCTGGGGGGGCAACTGGGGCATAGGGGGCATGGAGGACACAATGGGCATTGGGGAGGTGAGGGACGTTGGGGATGAAATGGGCATTGGGGACAATGGGTGGCACTGGGGACAATGGGATGCATTGGGGACAGGAGGGATGTTGAGGACGAAATAGGCATTGGGGACATGATGGGCATTGGGGACAATGGGAGGCATTGGGGACATGAGGGATGTTGAGGACGAAATGGGCATTGGGGACATGATGGGCATTGGGGGCAATGGGAGGCATTGGGGACAATGGGAGGCATTGGGGACAGGAGGGATGTTGAGGACGAAATAGGCATTGGGGACATGATGGGCATTGGGGACAATGGGAGGCATTGGGGACATGAGGGATGTTGAGGACGAAATGGGCATTGGGGACAAGATGGGCATTGGGGACAATGGGAGGCATTGGGGACATGAGGGACATTGAGGATGAAATGGGCACTGGGGACATGATGGGCATTGGGGACACGATAGGCACTGGGGACAATGGGAGGCATTGGGGACATGAGGGACATTGAGGATGAAATGGGCATTGGGGACATGATGGGCATTGGGGACACGATAGGCATTGGGGACAATGGGAGGCATTGGGGACATGATAGGCATTGGGGACAATGGGAGGCACTGGGGACATGAGGGACATTGAGGATGAAATGGGCATTGGGGACAATGGGAGGCATTGGGGACATGAGGGATGTTGAGGACAAAATGGGCATTGGGGACATGATAGGCATTGGGGGCGATGGGTGGCACTGGGGACAATGGGAGGCATTGGGGACATGAGGGACGTTGAGGATGAAATGGGCATTGGGGACATGATGGGCATTGGGGGCAATGGGAGGCATTGGGGACATGAGGGACATTGAGGACGAAAGGGGTATTGGGGCCAATGGGTGGCACTGGGGACATGAGGGGCATTGAGGGCCATGGGAGGGTTGCAGGGAACCTTTGGGATCTGGAGAGCACAGGGAACGCTGAGGGGACTGGGACACGGTGACCATGGGGACCATGGAGGATGCTGGAGACATTGAGGGACGCTGGGACATGGGGTGCATTGAGGGACACGGGGGTGCAGTGGGGGGGGGGGGGGGGGTGCCGGGCCATGGAGGACCCGGGGCTGTCCCCTCACGGGCGCTGTCCCCAGACCTCTCGGACGCGTCGGTGCTGGGGCACACGGAGGAGTGGCAGGAGGGGATGGAGGGGGCGGCGCTGACCTGCCTGGGGGACGGCAACCCCCCCCCCACCTACAACTGGACGCGGTGAGGACCCCCCCCTTCCGTTATCCCGATCCCACCGGAGCGGCCCCTGCCCGGTTCGTGTCCCCGCTGCATCCGGAGCTCCATCCTGTCCCTGCTGTGCCCACTGCCCGTGCTGGGGTCCCGGGCCACGTCCCTGCTGTGTCCTCTGCTTGTGCCCATGTCCTGTTTGAGTCCTGACTGTGTTCCATGTCCCTGCCGTGTCCCCCATGTCCCTGCTGTGTTCCATGTCCCTGCCATGTCCCCTCCTTGTTCCCATGTCCCTGCCATGTCCGCCATGTCCCTGCCGTGTCCCCTCCTTGTGCCCATGTCCTGGTAGTGCCCTGACTGTGTCCCATGTCCCCCATGTCCCTGCCGTGTCCCCCATGTCCCTGCTGTGTCCTCTGCTTGTGCCCATGCCCTGCTTGAGTCCTGACTGTGTCCCATGTCCCTGCCATGTCCCCCATGTCCCTGCTGTGTCCCATGTCCCTGCTGTGTCCAGTGTCCCTGCCATGTCCCCTCCTTGTTCCCATGTCCCTGCCGTGTCCCCCATGTCCCTGCTGTGTTCCATGTCCCTGCCATGTCCCCCATGTCCCTGCTGTGTCCAGTGTCCCTGCCATGTCCCCTCCTTGTTCCCATGTCCCTGCCGTGTCCCCCATGTCCCTGCTGTGTTCCATGTCCCTGCCATGTCCCCCATGTCCCTGCTGTGTCCAGTGTCCCTGCCATGTCCCCCCCCTTGTTCCCATGTCCCCCATGTCCCTGCTGTGTCCCCTCCTTGTGCCTATGTCTCCCATGTCCCTGCTGTGTCCCTGCTGCGTCCCCTCCTTGTTCCCATGTCCTGGCGGTGTCCTGTGTCCCATGTCCCTGCCATGTCCCCCTCCTTGTTCCCATGTCCCCCATGTCCCTGCCGTGTCCCCCATGTCCCTGCCGTGTCCCCCCCTTGTGCCTATGTCTCCCATGTCCCTGCCATGTCCCCCCCTTCTTCCCATGTCCCTGCCGTGTCCCCCCAGCCTGTGCCGCATCCCCCCCCCCTTGTCCCCTGTGCCCACGTCCCTGCCCTGTCCCCTGCCTGCTCCTGGCCATGTCCCCACTGCGTCCAGACCTCTTTCCTGTCCCTGCTGTGGGTCCCAGGGCACGTCCCTGCTGTGACCCGTGTGTGTCTGCCCCCCATGTCCCTGCCGTGTCCCCCCCTTGTTCCCATGTCCCCCATGTCCCTGCCGTGTCCCCCCCTTGTTCCCATGTCCCTGCCGTGTCCCCCCCTTGTTCCCATGTCCCCCATGTCCCTGCCGTGTCCCCTCCTTGTTCCCATGTCCCCCATGTCCCTGCCGTGTCCCCCCCTTGTTCCCATGTCCCCCATGTCCCTGCTGTGTCCAGTGTCCCTGCCATGTCCCCTCCTTGTTCCCATGTCCCTGCCGTGTCCCCCCAGCCTGTGCCGCATCCCCTCTCGTCCCCTGTGCCCACGTCCCTGCCCCGTCCCCTGCCCGCTCCTGGCCGTGTCCCCACTGCCGTGCCCTGCCCAGGCGTGCCCGTACCCGCACCGGTGCCGAGCGCCGCGGCGGCGGCTGCTGGTGCAGTGCCCGGACAAGCCCGGCCGGGGCCGGGGCAGGGCGGCAGCCGTGGGAACCGGCAGCGCCGGCTTTGATGGCGGCAGCACCGCCCTGAGCCGCCCGGGCACGCCGCGGGCTCCAGGGGCTGCGCCGGTGCCGATGGTGCCGGTAACACCGGTGCTGGTGGTGCCAGTGGTGCCGGTAACACTGGCGCTGGTGGTGCCAGTGCCGATGGTATCGGTGCCACCGGTGCTGATGGTGCCGGTGCTGGTGGTGCCAGTAACACCGGTGCTGATGGTGCCAGTGCCAATGGTATCGGTGCCACCGGTGCTGATGGTGCCGGTAACACCGGTGCTGATGGTGCCGGTGGTGCCGGTAACACCGGTGCTGGTGGTGCCAGTGCCGATGGTATCGGTGCCACCGGTGCTGATGGTGCCGGTGCCGGTGGTGCCGGTGCTGGTGGTGCCAGTAACACCGGTGCTGATGGTGCCAGCGCTAATGGTATCGGTGCCACCAGTGCTGATGGTGCTGGTGGTGCTGGTGCGGTGGTGCCAGTAACACCGGTGCTGATGGTGCCAGTGCCAATGGTATCGGTGCCACCGGTGCTGATGGTGCCGGTGCTGATGGTGCAGTGGTGCCGGTGTCGTCAGTGCTGATGGTGCCGGTGGTGCCGGTCACACTGGCGCTGGTGCTGGCAGTGCCGATGGTATTGGTGCCACCAGTGCTGATGGTGCCAGTGCCCATGGTGCCGGTGGTGCCGGTGCTGGTGGTGCCAGTAACACCGGTGCTGATGGTGCTAGTGCTGATGGTATTGGTGCCACCGGTGCTGATGGTGCTGGTGGTGCCGGTGGTGCTGGTGCGGTGGTGCCAGTAACACCGGTGCTGATGGTGCCAGCGCCAATGGTATCGGTGCCACCAGTGCTGATGGTGCTGGTGGTGCTGGTGCGGTGGTGCCAGTAACACCGGTGCTGATGGTGCCAGTGCCAATGGTATCGGTGCCACCGGTGCTGATGGTGCCGGTGCTGATGGTGCAGTGGTGCCGGTGTCGTCAGTACTGATGGTGCCGGTGGTGCTGGTCACACTGGCGCTGGTGCTGGCAGTGCCGATGGTATTGGTGCCACCAGTGCTGATGGTGCCAGTGCCCATGGTGCCGGTGGTGCCGGTGCTGGTGGGCCAGTAACACCGGTGCTGATGGTGCCAGTGCTGATGGTATTGGTGCCACCGGTGGTGCTGGTGCTGGTGGTGCCGGTGGTGCTGGTGCGGTGGTGCCAGTAACACCGGTGCTGATGGTGCCAGTGCCGATGGTATCGGTGCCACCAGTGTTGATGGTGCCAGTGCCCATGGTGCCGGTGGTGCCAGTAACACCGGTGCTGATGGTGCCAGTGCCGATGGTGCCAGTGCCCATGGTGCCGGTGGTGCCAGTAACACCGGTGCTGATGGTGCCAGTGCTGACGGTGCTGGGTGCCGCAGGTTGGACGCGCCGCTGCCCGCCGGGGTGCGGGTGAAGGGGGACACCCTCATCTTCCAGCGGCCGCTGGCCGTGGCCGACGCCGGGGATTACATTTGCCACGTGTCCAACCGCGTGGCTGCCAAGGAGGCGAGAGCCAACGTCAGCGTCAGGAGCAGGGTGGCCGGTGGGTGCCCCTCGTCCCTCCGTTCCCTCCCTTTCCCACCCATCTGATCCTCAGCCACCCATCCGGCGACTCACCCGTCTGCTCATCCACCCGCCCCTTTACTCATGTGTCTGCTCACCACCCATCCGTCCACTCATCCGTCTGCCTGCTCAGCTCCCTGTCCATCCATCCCTCTGCTCATCCATCCCTCTAGCACCTCTCACTGCCCAGCCATCTCTCCACCCATTGCTCATCCACCTTCCCATCCGTCCATTTACTCAGCCATCAGCCCATCCATCCACCCATCCATCCACCCATCCATCCATCCATCCATCCATCCATCCATCCATCCATCATCTATCCATCCATCCACCTATCCATCATCCACCCATCTATCATCCATCCATCATCCATCCACCCATCCATCATCCATCCACCCATCCATCCATCCACCCACCCATCCATCCATCCACCCATCCATCCATCATCCATCCATCCATCCATCCATCCATCCATCATCCATCCATCCGTCCATCCATCCATCCATCCATCATCCATCCATCCATCATCCATCCATCCATCCATCCATCCATCCATCCATCCATCCATCCATCCATCCATCCATCCATCCATCCATCATCCATCCATCCATCATCCATCCATCCATCCATCCATCCATCCATCCATCCATCCATCCATCCATCCATCCATCCATCCATCCATCCATCCATCATCCATCCATCCATCCATCCATCATCCATCCATCATCCATCCATCCATCCATCCATCATCCATCCATCCATCCATCCACCCATCATCCATCCATCCATCCATCCATCCATCCATCCATCCATCATCCACCCATCATCCATCCATCCATCCATCATCCATCCATCCACCCATCCATCATCCACCCATCCATCATCCATCCATCCATCCATCCATCCATCCATCCATCATCCATCCATCATCCATCATCCATCCATCCATCCACCCATCCATCATCCACCCATCCATCATCCATCCATCCATCCATCCATCCATCATCCATCCATCCATCATCCATCCATCATCCATCCATCCATCCACCCATCCATCATCCATCCATCCTCCATCCATCCATCATCCATCCATCCATCATCCATGGACTCATCCACCCATGGATATCCCCTTCTCTCCATTCACCTCCCATCTCCTCCCCACCGCCGGTGTCCCGCAGACGACGAGGTGCGGAAGGTGGACCTGGTCTCGGCCTCGGTGGTGGTGGTGGGCGTCATCGCCGCCGTCCTGCTCTGCGTCCTCGTCGTCGTCGTCGTCGTCATGACCCTCTACCACAAGCGCAAGACCAAGCGCATCTCCGAGAAGTAGTAAGAGCTGGGGTTGAACGTGGGGGGGAAATGGGGCGATGGGGGGGGGACACAGGGGGCTAGTGCTGAGCATCCCCCCCCATGTCCCCAGTGAGGAGGAGCTGACCCTCACCCGGGAGAACTCCATCCGCCGCCTGCACTCGAGCCACAGCACGGACACCCGCACCCAGGTGATGCAGGGGGGGCTTGGGGGGGGGGGGTGCTGTGGGTCATGGGTGGGGGACCCAAGGAGTTGAGGCTGGGGGGCACTTTGGGTGATGGGGTTTGGGGATGATGGGTGGGTTGTGTGCCCAAGGGTGCTCTGGGTGATGGGATCACTGCGGCAAAGGGTGCTGGGGGATCCAGGGGACTGGGTTTGAGGGTGCTGAAGGAGGAGAAGCAGGGAGTGGGGTGCCCATGGGATGTCTGTGGGACCAGTCCATGGGGTGTCTGTGGAGCCAGTCCATGGGGTGTCCTTGAGGCCAGTCCATGGGTTGTCTGTGGGACCAGTCCATGGGGTGTCCTTGAGGCCAGTCCATGAGCTGTCTGTGGGACCAGTCCATGGGGTGTCCTTGAGGCCAGTCCATGGGTTGTCTGTGGGACCAGTCCATGGGGTGTCCTTGAGGCCGGTCCATGGGGTGTCCATGAGGCCGATCCATGGGGTGTCAATGGGGCTGCTCAATGGGGCGTCCTTGGGGCAGGTCCATGGGGTGCCAGTGGGGTCAATCCCTGGGGTGCCCATGAAGCCTGGTCCATGGGGTGTCAATGGGGCTGCTCCATGGGGCCGGTCCATGGGGTGTCAATTGTGCTGCTCCATGGGGCTGCTCCATGGGGTGTCAATGGGGCTGCTCTATGGGGTGTCCGTGGGGCCAGTCCATGGGGTGTCAATGGAGCTGCTCCATGGTGTGTCTATGGGGCTGGTCCATGGCGTGTCAGTGGAGCTGCTCCATGGGGTGTCCATGCGACCTGTCCATGGGGTGTCAATGGGGCTGCTCCATGGGGCCAGTCCATGGGGTATCAATGCGGCTGCTTCATGGGGTTTCAATGGGGCTGCTCCATGGGTTTCCATGGGGCCAGTCCATGGGGTGCCAACGGGGCTGCTCCATGGGGCCAGTCCATGGGGTATCAATGCGGCTGCTCCATGGGGTATCAATGGGGCTGCTCCATGGGGTATCAATGGGGCTGCTCCATGGGATGTCCATGCGACCCGTCCATGGGGTGTCAATGGGGCTGCTCCATGGGGCCGGTCCATGGGGTATCAATGGGGCTGCTCCATGGGGTGTCAATGGGGCTGCTCCATGGGGCTGCTCCATGGGGTGTCCGTGGGGCCGCTCCATGGGGTGCTTGGCTCTAACGGGGCTCTTGCAGCTGGAGGAGACGCTGCAGCTGCGGGCAGAGAGCCGCCAGGGCAGCCTGCGTGGGGACAGCCTGCGCGGCACCAGCATCTGCTCGGCCATGGTGAGCACCGGGGTCCATGGGATGTGGGACGGGACTTTGGGGTCCACGCGTGTGACCCCGTCCCGTCCCTACGCGCAGAGCGAGGAGCCCGAGGGCCGCAGTTACTCCACGCTCTCGACCGTGCGGGAGATCGAAACGCAGACCGAGGTCCCTGCGGCGCCGGCGGGGAAGGAGCCCAAGGACGAGGAGGAGGAAGGCGGCGGCGATGACCCCATCAAGCAAGCCATGACCCACTTCGTGCAGGAGAACGGCATGCTCCAAGCCAAGCCCACCACCAACGGCATCTACATCAACGGCCGCGGGCACCTCGTGTGAGCCGCTGCCCATGGAGGTTGTGGGGGGGGGACACACACACATGATGGGGGGCACGGACACCCCCCCCCGCTATGGGGCACAGGGTGAGGGACACGCTCCGTGCGCACCCCCTGCCTGCGGGCACAGCGCCGGGGGGGCGAGGAGGTGACGGCGGCACCGGACATCCCCCCCCCCCCCCCCCGGGTGTGGGGACACCCCAAGGACAGGGGCAGGAGCCCCCCAACACCACCCCCCCCACCCCCCCCCCAAGCCCCCCCCTCGGACTCTGGGCCGGTTCCTGCTTTGCAGGCGGCACTTGGGGGGCTTCCGTCCCCTCTCCCCTTCCCCCCCCCTCAAAAACCCGGACCCCCCAACGCACACCCCCACCCCCCCCCACCCCACAGAACCCCCCTTGGCAGCCCCCGGTGGGGCCCCCCCCATGCGTGGGGCTGGTGATGGGGGTCCCCGGGACGCGTGTCCCCGTGTACAGACCCTGTATAGGACGGGGCCCCCCCCCGCTGCTGCGGCCCCGCTTGTAAATAAACCCCTGCGGGCCTTGGGACCCCGTGTCCGACGCGTGTGCGAGGATGGGCACACGAGCGCGTGTGAACGTGCACAAGCGTGTGCACGTATGGCACAAGCATGTTCAAGTGCGGCACAAGCGTGCACAAGCATGTGCATGTATGGCACAAGCACGTTCAAGTGCGGCACAAGCGTGCAAACATATGGCACAAGCGTGCACAAGCGTGTGCACATATGGCACAAGCACGCTCAAGTGTGGCACAAGCGTGCGAACACATGGCACAAGCGTGCACAAGCGTGTGCACGTATGGCACAAGCACGCTCAAGTGTGGCACAAGCGTGCACAAGCATGTGCATGTATGGCACAAGCACGCTCAAGTGTGGCACAAGCGTGCAAACATATGGCACAAGCGTGCACAAGCGTGTGCACGTATGGCACAAGCATGAATAAGCGTGCACATGTATGACACCAGCACGTACAAGCATGCATACATATGGCACAAGCATGCGCATGTATGGCAGAGGCGTGCATAAGTGTGCGCACGTATGGAACAAGCATGCACAAGCATGTGGACGTATGGCACAAGCAAGCACACGTATGGCAGAGGCGTGCACAAGCATGCGCACGTATGGCAGAGGCATGCATAAGCGTGCGCACGTATGGCACAAGCATGCGCGAGCATGTGGACGTATGGCACAAGCATGCACGCGTATGGCCGAGGTGTGCATAAGCGTGCACACGTACGGCAAAAGCACGCACAAGCGTACACACGTATGGCATAGGCGTGCATAAGCGTGTACACATACAGCACAAGCATGAATAAGCGTGCGCACATATGACAGGAGCATGCACAAGCATGCACATGTATGGCATAGGCGTGCATAAGCCTGTGCACGTACAGCACAAGCATGAATAAGCGTGCGCACGTATGACAGGAGCATGCACAAGCGTGCACACGTATGGCACAAGCATGAATAAGCGTGCACACATATGGAACAAGCATGAATAAGCGTGCGCACGTATGGCACAAGCATGAATAAGCGTGCACACATATGGAACAAGCATGAATAAGCGTGCGCACGTATGGCACAAGCATGAATAAGCGTGCACACATATGGAACAAGCATGAATAAGCGTGCGCACGTATGATGCAAGCATGAATAAGCGTGCACATGTATGGTGCAAGCATGAATAAGCATGCACACATATGGAACAAGCATGAATAAGCGTGCACACGTATGGCACAAGCATGAATAAGCGTGCGCACGTATGACAGGAGCATGCACAAGCATGCACATGTATGGCATAGGCGTGCATAAGCGTGTGCACGTACAGCACAAGCATGAATAAGCGTGCGCACATATGACAGGAGCATGCACAAGCGTGCGCACGTATGACACAAGCATGAATAAGCGTGCACACGTATGGCACAAGCATGAATAAGCGTGCGCACGTATGGCACAAGCATGAATAAGCGTGCGCACGTATGACACAAGCATGGATAAGCGTGCGCACATATGACACAAGCATGGATAAGCGTGCGCACGTATGACACAAGCATGGATAAGCGTGCGCACGTATGGCACAAGCATGAATAAGTGTGCGCACGTATGGCACAAGCATGGATAAGCGTGCGCACGTATGACACAAGCATGGATAAGCGTGCGCACGTATGGCACAAGCATGGATAAGCGTGCGCACGTATGGCACAAGCATGCACAAGCGTGCACATGTATGGCACAAGCATGAATAAGTGTGCACACATATGACACAAGCATGAATAAGCGTGCACATGTATGGCACAAGCGTGCTCTGCACATGGCCCCGGTGCACGAGGAGCAGGAGCACACGGAACCCACACGGGTGCCCCAGAGCGTGCACGAGCACCACGCCAAGGGCACCCAAGTGTTCGTGTGCGTGTGCATGAGCACCGGTGCTGGTGCAAACACAAGCGTTGGCGTGCGCTGGTGAGCGTGGGTGCACACACAACAGCGGTGCACACTGGTGAGCATCGGTGCACACACAACACTTGTGATCATTGGTGCACACGCAACGTTGGTGCTCGCCGATGATTGCTGGTGCACACACAATGTTGGTGCTCACTGGTGAGCATTGGTGCACCCACGACATTGGTGCACACACAAGCGTTGGTGATCATTGATGCACACGCAGCTCTCTGGTGAGCATTGCTGCACCCACGACACTGGTGCACACACAAGCGTTGGTGATCATTGATGCACACGCAACTCTCTGGTGAGCGTTGGTGCACACATGACATTGGTGCATACACAAGCGTTGGTGATCATTGATGCACACACAGCTCTCTGGTGAGCGTTGGTGCACACATGACACTGGTGCACACACAAGCGTTGGTGATCATTGATGCACACGCAACTCTCTGGTGAGCGTTGCTGCACACATGACACTGGTGCACACATGACATTGGTGCACACACAAGCGTTGGTGATCATTGATGCACACGCAACTCTCTGGTGAGCGTTGCTGCACACATGACACTGGTGCACACATGACATTGGTGCACACACAAGCGTTGGCGCTCGCTGGTGATCACTGGTGCACTCACAATGTTGGTGCTCACTGGTGAGCATTGGTGCACACACGACGTTGGTGCACACACAAGCGTTGGCGCTCGCTGGTGAGCATTGGTGCACACATGACGTTGGTGCACACACGACGTTGGCGCACACACAAGCATTGGTGCTTGCTGGTGAGCATTGGTGCACACACAAGGTTGGTGCTCACTGGTGCTCACTGGTGCACTCACAAGGTTGGTGCTCATTGGTGCACTCACAACGTTGGTGATCATTGGTGCTCATTGGTGCACTCAACATTGGTGTTCGCTGGTGATCATTGGTGCACTCACAAGGTTGGTGCTCACTGGTGCACTCACAAGGTTGGTGCTCATCGGTGCACTCACAAGGTTGGTGCTCACTGGTGCTCATCGGTGCACTCACAAGGTTGGTGCTCACTGGTGATTGTTCATGCACACACAAGTGTTGGTGCTCACTGGTGCACCCGCAACGTTGGTACTCACTGGTGATCATCGGTGCACTCACAACGTTGGTGCTCGCTGGTGCTCATCGGTGCACCCGTAACGTTGGTGCTCATTGGTGCACTCACAACGTTGGTACTCACTGGTGCTCATCGGTGCACTCACAACATTGGTGCTCGCTGGTGCTCATCGGTGCACCCGCAACGTTGGTGCTCACTGGTGCTCATTGGTGCACTCACAACATTGGTGCTCATCGGTGCACCCGCAACGTTGGTGCTCGCTAGTGATCGTGCACACACAAGCGTTGGTGCTCGCTGGTGATCATCGGTGCACCCGCAACGTCAGTGCTCGCTGGTGATCACTGGTGCACTCACAGTGTTGGTGCTCACTGGTGCTCATTGGTGCACTCACAACGTTGGTGCTCACTGGTGCACTCACAACGTTGGTGCTCGCTGGTGCTCATTGGTGCACACACAACGTTGGTGCTCACTGGTGCTCATTGGTGCACTCACAACGTTGGTACTCGCTGGTGCTCATCGGTGCACACACAACGTTGGTGCTCACTGGTGCTCATCGGTGCCCTCACAACGTTGGTGCTCACTGGTGCTCATTGGTGCACTCACAACGTTGGTGCTCACTGGTGCACTCACAACGTTGGTACTCACTGGTGCTCATCGGTGCACTCACAACGTTGGTGCTCGCTGGTGCACTCACAACGTTGGTGCTCACTGGTGCTCATCGGTGCACTCACAACGTTGGTGCTCACTGGTGCTCATTGGTGCACTCACAACATTGGTGCTCACTGGTGCTCACTGGTGCACTCACAACGTTGGTGCTCACTGGTGCTCATTGGTGCACTCACAACATTGGTGCTCACTGGTGCACTCACAACGTTGGTGCTCGTCGGTGCACCCGCAACGTTGGTGCTCACCGGTGCTCATTGGTGCCCTCACAACGTCGGTGCTCACTGGTGCTCGTTGCCTGCGGTTTGGAGGTGCCGGCAGCAGGAAGCGCTTCGCGGGCGGCCGCCACCTTCCTGCTGCGCCCCGGAGCCAGCAGAGGCCTCGCGGCTCCCCCGGCCCCGGCACTTCCTCCCTAGGGCTCTTCCGCCCGCTGCGCCCCGGGCGCGGCGCCGGTGCCGGCCATGGGCAGGGGTTGATCGCGGCCATGTCGCGGCACAAGGCGAGGCGCAAAGGCGGTGCCCGCGAGCGGGTCTTCGGCTGCGACCTCCTGCAGCTGCTGCAGCGCTCGGGGCAGGACGGTGAGCGCGGGGGCACCGGGGGTTGCCCGGGCTGGGTCTCGCCGCGGTTGCGTCACCGGTGCCGCAATCGGGCTCTTCCGGTGAGGGCCCCCTCTGAGGTTTGGGGGTCCCAGAGTGGTCCAGGGGGGGCCGGGGATGGGGGCTCTGAGGGGTGATGGGGCCTGGTGCTCGCCCCCCCCCAGTGCCGCAGGTGCTGAGGAGCTGCACGGAGTTCGTGGAGCAGCACGGGGTGGTGGATGGGATCTACCGGCT